TCTATCTATCTATCTATCTATCTATCTATCTATCTATCTATCTATCTATCTATCTATCTATCTATCTATCTATCTATCTATCTATCTATCATGGTTATAGACTAGCTTTATTTCAACAGTTTCTTTGGTTGCACAGCTTTTATTTTGAAATCGTGTGTTAAAGCGCACGAGGCGGAGTTTCGCTTGATGAAAGGGGTCTCGCGGCTGGACCGGTTGGATGTTTTTAGCCCGGCGAACAGCAACCGAAGCACGTAAAATGTAATAATTGGGTTTCTTTTTTAAAAATGAAATATAATGTAAGTTCATTCATAGTCCGGTAAACATTATTGTTTCCACCGAGACGACAAACATGGAGTCTGCTGGGAACAAAACCAAGAAGAAGAAGAAGTTGTTGGTGTACGGTCTTCTTCTTTGGTGGTCGCTGCTGGTCGAAGAGGCGTCGGCAGGTAACAAATCCAACTTTTTGGAGGTTTTTTTTTTTTATTATTATCAATGAAAACAAAATGTATGCATAACCTTGTGTGTTTGTTCGCTCAGGTAAAAGTAAATATATTTAAACTACTRTAAGTGAAATCTGGCTTTGCTTCACTTATTTATAGCTTCTCTGTCAAGGTTAGCTCGTGAAACTTGTAGCTAAATGTTTACCTTTTTAACACGGGTTCCCACTGTTTTGAGCAGCAGCCATATTCTCACATTACAGCATTATGAAAGGATTTGTGTTCGTGTTTCAGTGATTTGCAGGTTTTTAAATGTTGACCTTGGTGTTTAATRAAAGCAGGATTAAATGAAATGTACATGGTGGGGACAGGCTGGTGGGTGGGTGCACTTCAGCAACAACCATAACATGTTTTATTTATTTTACATGCTAATCAAGCTGATAGTGTTGTTTTTTCCCCTTTAAATTGTGTACATAATATAGGGATGTGGATAAATTTTTAATCCTACACCGATATTAAATCTGACAGCAGATTCCAAAAGAACATTTCAAACCACACAAAATAAGACCAAAATCATGAGATTATCTGAAGTATGAGGGAAGTTATTGATGTTTGTTTAGGTGAAATCAGCTCATGTTTTCTTGCTGCAGTTCACCAATGGGGTCTTTTTGACCATTTCACCTTGCTGTTTTCTAATTTTGCTCATAACTTCCTCAGTGTTCAAGATATCGCCATGAAATTTTAGGAAAAGATTCCCATTCTGGTTTTGTAGGAAGCATCTTGTATCCTAAAAAACTTATAAAACTTAATAATAGCCAATTCAAAAGTAGC